GAACCAGACACGCGGGGCATGTGAGCAAAGCATGGCTAGGAAATACAAGGTCACTACAGAGTACAGAAAAGTTGGCTCGCATTCCCTAAACAATTATGGCACTGAAGCAAACTCAATTTCACCGAAATAATCACGCTGTCTGAACATCTAATTAGCACCTGCGAAACGGAATGTCCCTCAAAAATTAGACAGTTTATTGAATACTCGAGCGCATCCGAATTCGTGCCTAGGCTCGACATGCATAAAATCTTACAAAAGCGGGCCCAGCCGGGTAGTATGATGACGGCGCGGCAATTGGCAGGTATTAGACATAATGACAGACACAGAGTGCAGTCGGCATCGCACCGCACCATCGCCTTCTTTTTAAACTCAACCGCATAGGAGTAAGATTTAGGCTTCTGGCGTGGATAGAAAACTTCCGAATTGGCCACTCGTAAACCGTCCGTATCAGCCACTAACAGTCCGCCAAGGTTGCGTCTGAGAGTGGTGCTCCTCAACACTCCGTTCTCGGTCCTATTTTTTTCATTCTTTGCATCAGCGATTGCGTCAGCTAACTGGGTTTCGATATCGCCACGTTTGCCGATGATCTCAAACTTTGGCACGTCATTCAAACTGCGGCAAACGAAGACTACTTGTAAGCATATATAAATTGACTCCAAACATAATCAAAGGAATGGCTCTTGCAGTTCAATGAAAGCAAGCACAAAAGCATGCGAGTCGGCAAAATCAGTTCTTCGAACCGTAAGGTTTACCGATTAAATGGCATGCAATTAAAAGAAGTGGATGTCTAGGAGGCCTTGGTAGTCTGGATCGCGTCCTCGATTAAACCCTCTCTGCACTGCGCAAAGGTAGCCAAGTCTGCGATTTTGGTTCTGTACCTCGTCAAACGAGCTTTTTCTGCCTTTAATGACGACTGCTGTACCAAGGTCTGCGGAACCCTCGTGTGGCTGTAACGAGAGTCTGCTATGAAAACGTGGACACGCTGAGCGGTGAAAGACTTGAACATCCTCGAAAGGGTTCAAAGGCCTGCAACCAAAATTGTCACTGTCCTATGAAACACGATTGTCCAATCTTAATCTCATTTCCTTGCGCTACAGACAGGTTCGGGGGGGGCTGATAACAACACTTCGCATATTACGTGTTCAGGACTGCTGTCTTGTATCAGGAGATCTTTTCGAGTTAGCAACAATAACAAAATTGATAGGTCATCCTCCTAAATTACGTATGACTGGGGCCAGGCTCGGTATAGCAGTGCCAGCTACAATACGAACTGACCGCTGCAAAAACGGAGTGCCAGAAAATTACAATTAGAAGACTACTTTCTCTATTCTAGTAGAATTTGTTTTATAGCATAACTTTTTACAGAGAGAGGACTTGGTGGGCAAGACGGCGAAAATCGCCATGCCATAATACTACTTGCTGCATTGTAGTAAAATTTGTTCCTGTACTTTTTTTAATTCATGCATAACCGAGTGCTTGCGCTCTCCCATCAGGATTCCCACGGGCAGGTCTCCGCGGTCTTCCTACTTGTCTATCTGCGAACCGTGATAACCACGTCAGCGATCGCATCAGCCCAACCTGGCGACTATAGTCCACGCGGCCCCTTAACGTTCTCCCTTGACTAAACCCGCAGCGGATTGTCGACGATTCTGACAGATATTTATGTTCTCGCAACCTTGTCGGCAGGCTGCAATCAGTTGGGTACTATCTGGCTGCATCTCCCACACTTAGTTGATAATCCCGTTGGCCTCTGAGAGGCCCCACCACACCCCTCCCTCCCATTTTACACTCCCTCCCCCCAAGAGCGATTGTTTTTTCTCCTAAGAAACCCCAGACAGTTTTATTCACTGCACGCTCGTTTAAACGATATTCCACCTCATTCACTCACGTCAAATCGCTTCGCCAATAACGTGGGATACTATTTTTCCGATACCACGACAGGCATATACACAGATGTAGTGAATTCAAACATACAACTACCTCCAATATACTGATACTGCCCTTCATGCAGACCTGTACCGTTTAAATTGAATATTCAAGGGCTTCTGTCATGAACTTCGACTACATTGAAGAAATGTTGGGTTTTACCGTCTGCATAGTCTGTTAAATACGATGCTGCGGCAGTCCTTGCATCTATGTTTGACCTGGATTATTTGGATGTCATGTAGCCACGCGAATGGGCTTCTCGGGAACATCTGGGTTACGTTTGCTCTGGCCATAAGTGGTGATAAGAGTCGATTCGATTTGGTAAAGATATAGCTGAATTAGACGTTGCAAGCTCGTATGATGATGCAATGACGGTCAAGCGATTCGCTGATCGACACCTGCATTACGTCAATAGCAAATTTTGCAATATTGAGGTGCGGACCATGAAGACGATATGCACTGACGAGTGTCGGCTACACGAAGGTCGAGTTGTTTCAAACCTGAAGCAGACGATGAAACTGTGAAGAGAGAAGCACGTGCTCACGGTCTTTACAATCGCCGATTTTAGAGGAAATGATGCAAAAAGGATCTCTGGGAAGGCTGTGAGAAAAACGATCCGAGAGCAGCATTCCATGACCTGTTCTATGCTGAAAACTGCGAAGTCTACGATGCCATGTGGAGAATAATGCCATGGAGCTTAAACACTCTACGTCTAATCAGCAGTACCCAGATGCAAATGGAAAAACATCAACCAGGAAATACAGACATCTATGAACACATTTTCGCGGCCGTGGAGACATTCGTCTATTTACGAAAAGCCAACGCTGCCAAGTAAGGAAAAAAGTTACGCTTGTTATTCGAAGGGAAACTGCATATTAACAACAAATAAGGAAGTTAGCTGACTTTGCGTGGTCGTCGTTGTGCTCCTGGGGGTCGCTAAAAATAAAGTAGAAAAAAACAGTTATAGAGTTGTGGGATACGAAGAAGTCCAGATAACAGACGATTGAGCGTATCCCAAAGGTTATGAACTAGTAGATAATATAAGGCGTGGAAGGCCAGAGAGTTTGGGATAATTTAATAAGTTGTAACAGGCGTAGAATGCAAGTAATTGATAAGTGCCTCCCAGACGAGTGCAAGTCCAGCCATGGGCGGGCCGCTCGGGATGTGTCTGACCGTCACCGATCCCCGCACTAGGTTCCCTTTGTGGACTGGCCATGGGAAGTGGTTGGCCAGTGAACCAGACAGAGAGTGACCTCGAACGGAGGTTTTGACAGCCAGCGGCGCGCACGGGTTGGTGCACACGAGAGCCAGACACGTGGGGCATGTGAGCAAAGCATGGCTAGGAAATACAAGGTCGCTACAGAGTACAGGGGAGTTGGCTGGCATCCCTTAAACAATTATGGCACTGACGCAAACTCAATTTCACCGAAATAATCACGCTGTATGAAGGTCTATTCAGCACCTGCGAAAGGGGATGCCCCTTGAAATTCGACGGCTTATTGAATACTCGAGCGCATTCGAATTGGTGCATAGGCCTGACGTGCGTACAACCTTACAAGGGCGGTCCCAGCCGGGTGGTCAGATGACGGGCCGGGAGTTGGCAGGTTTTTGTCATAATGACAGACCTAGAGCACGATCGGCATTGTCGGACTACCTATCGTTATGAGTCAGCTTTATCCCATCCCTGAACGGTGTAAGAGAGTTTTAAATGCATGAGTCCCTTAAGCTATCCAAGGTGACTATAGCAGCCACACGCAGCTCTACATACTGGCTGCATTTGGTGTCCAATTTTCCTATTGAGAGGACACGAGCAGATATGATACCAGAGCATACAAATGTTGTGGACATGGAGCGATAATCAGCAGAAAGCAATCACTGTCCTGCGCGTCCTTTCGCTGTGTGCATGGAACATTGAATACAACACCAGACTAACAACAAATGAGGAAGTTAGCTCACCTTCAGTGGTCGTAGTTTCGGGTTCAGCCTTTACTAAAATTGAAGTGGAAATAACAGCCATATGGTACAGAGCAGTTATCTGGCATCCTGAAATATGTTATAGCACTGAAGCAAATGCAACTTCAACGAAATGATCACAAGCTGCCTGAATGTCTAATCAGCACCTGCAAAACCGAATGCAAATTAAAATTAGACATTTTATTGAATACTCGAGTGGATTTCAATTAGTGCATAGGCGTGGCGTGCGTAAAGCCTTACAAGAGTGGGCCCAGCCGGATGGCTAGATGACAGGCCAGCAGTTGGCAGGTTTTAGTCACAATGACAGACACAGTAGAATCGACATTTCCGGAGAACTTATCATTAGTAATCCGAGGTACCCCATCCCAGAGCTGCATATTTACGTTTTTAACTCATTAGTCTCTTGATCGTCGAACACTGGCCTCGTTGATTCACTTCGCGCTTATGTCATGTTAACGAAAATGGGCAATAGACGGTCACAGGGGATTAGTATGTACCGATATGCCTTCGTTGCCGGACCCA